TGGCTTTCCCTCTCGGGACTGTCGGTGGAGTCCCAGTCTATAATGCAGGACCTGCCATTTGATGGCAAAGCATTATTTGCAGACCAGACAGACACCCATCTGCACGGGATGAAGGACTCCCGCACCACCCTGCAGACACTTGGTCTGTATGTCCTGCCGGCCAAGGACAAGCCCAGACCGCAGCCCTCGGCTTCCCCTGCACGGGGCAGATATGAGCCCCCACCTAAGAGGCAGAGAGAGCAGAGGCGTCGGTCCCAACGCCAGTCCCGTTCGGCCCCACGACCTGGGCCCTTGAAGGCCAAGAGGCCAGGGAAACGGCGTTTTTGACTCGTTGCGGGTGGTCTCCGGGCCTGTTGCCAGTGTATTCCCCCCCCCAGTTAATAAAGTTGAGTTTTACCAACCGTTTATCAGCCTTCCGACTGCAATGGTCCCATATAACGTCAGACCGATGGGTCCTCAGCACCATCTCCCAAGGGTACAGGTTGGAGTTCGTTTCGGCCCCTCCTCACCATCCGCCAGCCCGGGAGCTGGCTGGGGACCCGGAGCACGCCCCCCTCCTCAACCAGAAGGTAGAGTGCCTCCTCTCCCTGGGAGCGGTGGAAAGGGTACCTCGGGAATTCCAGGGCAAGGGATTTTACTCCGGGTATTTCCTCATCCCGAAGGCAAAGGGTAGCCTGCGGCCTATCCTCAATCTGCGGAATCTCAACCAGTTCCTGGTTCGTTGCAAATTCCACATGGTGTCCCTGGCCTCTATTATTCCATCCCTGGACCCGGGGGATTGGTTCACGGCTCTGGACCTCCATGATGCATATTTTCACATCCATATTTTCGAAGATCACAGGCGCTTCCTCCATTTCCTGGTGGGTCAGGACCACTACCAGTTTACGGTCCTCCCCTTTGGGCTCTCTACTGCCCCCAAGGTCTTTACAAAGTGTATGGCGGTGGTGGCGGCCCACCTCAGGAGGAAAGGGCTGCAGATCTTCCTGTACCTCGACGACTGGCTGCTCAAGGGCAAGTCCCGATCTCAGGTACAGGAGCAGATGAATTTCCTGCTAAACACCTGCGGGGCTCTAGGCCTGGTGGTAAATGAGGACAAATCCACGTTAGTCCCGGTTCAGCACACAAACTTCATAGGAGCACTGTTAGATTCCCAGGTGGCCACAACCTCCCTCCCACGGGACAGGTTCAAGATGCTCAAAGCTCTCATCGCCTCGGTCACGGCCTTTCCAGTAACTACGGCACGGGTGTGCCTTCAAATCCTAGGCCATATGGCAGCATGCACCTCTGTGGTGCAACATGCCAGGCTCAGGATGAGGCCCCTTCAGCTTTGGCTGGCCTCCCGGTACTTCCAGGCCAGGGACGGCCTGGACAAGGTCGTTACAGTACTGCCGACAGTGGTGGCAGACCTGCACTGGTGGTCTCTCCCGAGCAACATGCTGAGCCCCCTCCCTCACTAGATCTAGTGTTGGATGCCTCGGACCTGGGCTGGTGAGCCCACGTGGGGGACTTCAAGACCCAGGGTATGTGGTCTCCCGAGGAACTGACCCTGCACATAAATGTCAGGGAACTCAGGGCCGTGCGCCTGGCGTGCGTGGCCTTCCACCAGCACATAGAGGGGAAGGTGGTCAGCGTTCTCACGGACAATACGACCGCAATGTATTATGTCAACAGGTAAGGGGGCACACGTTCCCGGGCTTTATGCCAGGAAGACCAGCTCCTGTGGGAGTTCTGTATAGCCCACGACATCCTCCTGAGGGCCTTTTACCTGCCCGGCAAGAGCAACACGCTTGCGGACCCCCTGAGCAGGGTGTTCTCCCAACAGCACGAGTGGTCCCTACACAGGGAGGTGGTCAGGTGGATCTTCCTGCAGTGGAGCACTCCCCAGGTAGACCTGTTCACCACCCCCCAGAATCGACTGTGTCCCCGGTTCTGCTCCAGGGTGGGAGAGGGCGAGGGTGCGATCTCAGACGCGTTCCTGCTCCCATGGTCGGGGCCCCTGTTGTACGCCTTCCCGCCCTTCCCCCTAATAGGCAGGGTCCTACAGAAGGTGAAGTCAGACGGGGCGCGGGTTATCCTCATAGCCCCGGACTGGGCCCGTCAACATTGGTATGGGACCCTGGTGCAACTCTTAGCGGGCCCCCCTCGCAGACTGCCGCTCCACCCGGACCTCCTCTCCCAGGAGGAAGGTAGTCTCCATCCCAACCTGGCCCCGCTCCACTTGACAGCGTGGCTGCTCCGTGGTTGAATGAGGAGGAAGGGAGATGTTCTGAGGATGTGCGACGGGTCCTGCTGGAAAGTAGGAAACCCTCCACACGTCGAACCTACCTGGCTAAATGGTATCGGTTCTCTATGTGGGCAAGGGATAGAGGTTCCTCTCCCTCTTCGTCATCTATCCAGCTTGTCCTCAATTACCTCCTGTCCCTTAGGACCCAAGGGCAGGCGCCCTTCTCTATCAGGGTACACCTGGAGGCCATTTCGGCTTTTCACCCCCCGGTGCAGGGCCTTTCGGTGTTTTCACATCACATGACGTCCCGGTTTCTAAAAGGGGTAGATCGGGCATTCCTTTACGCCAGACCCCCGGTCCCGCTCTGGGACCTGAACCTAGTGCTCTCCCGCCTCACCGGGCCTCCTTTCGAGCCCTTAGCCACATGTTCGTGGTCCCACTTATCATGGAAAGTGGTGTTCTTAGTAGCTATCACCTCAGCCCACCGGGTCTCCGAGCTCAGGGCTCTGACCTCTGAACCACCGTATACGGTCTTCCATAAGGACAAGGTACAGCTCCGCCCTCACCCCGCCTTTTTGCCGAAGGTAGTCTCGGCTTTTCACATGGATCAGGATATTTTCCTCCCTATCCTCTGCCCTAAGCCCCATTCCTCTAATGAGGAACGCTGCCTGCACATGTTAGATGTCCGCAGGGCGCTGGCCTTCTACCTAGACAGAACCAGGCCATTTAGGAAGTCCCCCCCAGCTGTTCATTGCATCGGCCGAGTGCATGAGGGGGCGTCCGGTCTCTACCCAGCGGATCTCCTGCCGGATCACCTCATGCATTCGCACCTGTTACGACCTGGCAGGAGTTCCCCCGCCTCCTATAGTGAAGGCTCATTCGACGAGATCTCAGGCCTCGTCAGCAGCCTATGTGGCTCACGTCCCTATTCAGGATATATGTAGGGCTGCTACATGGTCCTCTGTCCACACCTTCTCCTCGCACTATGCAATCGTCTCCCAAGCACGGGATGACACAGGGTTTGGTAGGGCGGTACTCCGCCCGGGTAACCCTTAAAACTTTAAACTCCTCCACACCTCCATCAGGTATAGCTTGGAGTCACCTATAGTGGAATACACATGAGCAATCACTCGAAGAAGAAAGGACAGTTACCTGTTCCGTTACTGGCGTTCTTCGAGATGGGTTGCTCCTGTGTATTCCACATCCCGCCCTCCTTCCCCTCTGTCGGAGTTGTCTGGCAAGAAGGAACTGATGGTGGGGGGAGCACGCAGCCCCCTTTATGGTGCAATATACAGATACCACTCCAGGGGTCGCAGTGGTGCTCCCCCTCTACGGGTACTGCTAAGGGAAAAACTTCCGGCACTGGTGCACGTAGTGAGCACGCACACCTATAGTGGAATACACCTGAGCAACACATCTCGAAGAACGCCAGTTACGGAACAGGTAACTGTCCTTTACATCCGCCATGGAAATGGCAGAGGATGAGACCTCAATCTGCACCTTGCAGTAGTACTAAAGAGGGGACAGTGGTGGGCCTCCTCCACTCGCCCAGTTTTCATGGGAAGAAGGGGATATTCAGCTCAATGGACTTTGTCACTGCTCTGTGGCTAATATAGTGTTTACACAGTCTGGGATTTCAAAGAAGTCTAAGGGAGTTAGGTGCCTAACTTCTGTTAAATTTCAAAGGGATTTGGGTGCCTACTTCCCATTAGTTCCTTTAGAAATACCAGCCAAAATCAACAGAGGTGGCAAGTGCTGTGCCCCTTCCAGGATCAGGTCCAATATCTGTCATTATTCCACCAAGGGCAGTCAGAGCAGGGGCAAAACCAAAGCTGGGATAAGAGGATTTTGTAGACAAGCCCAGCCAGGGTCGATACCAGGGCTCCAAGTCTGAGTCAGGTTTCAGGGTCCGAGTCAGGAGAGATTGTCAAGCCAGTGATTCAAGTGCAAGGAACAGTTATGGCAGCTACAGAAGATCCATACTGTTGTCTGGATACTTCCTGGAATACCCCTTGGGTTTATATAGGGCAAGGAGCCACAGGGTTGCTGTCTGTCAAACCCTTGAGACAGAATTTCCCATGGGCTGGGTCCACAGCAGATCATAGTAAGTGAAGCACAAGTTAGTTACAGCTGCTGCTGGGTGACAACCTGGAGCTGCCAGCTGCCTGGTAGCTGTACAGGCCTGAGTTCTAGACTCGGACTATAAGGTCAAAGGGGAACCATCGTGATCTTCTAGTCTGACCTGCACATTGCAGGCCACAGAACCTCACCTCACCTGTGGGGCCTTACAGTATCACTCTGTTTCCAAGGTGATTATATGTGCTGTACTGTGCATTCATCTTGAGACAAATGTGGCTAATCCAGTTCCTCTGAGCTAGGAAGTATATCTAACCTATGGGTATACAACAACCAGTAATGGGTCAGAGAGTGGCCCATTTTAGCTTGAAGAAGCTAAATTTCCATCATCAAGCTGAAAGGTGTTTGAGGTAATTTCCCTTTCTCTGTTGGATTTCATCTCACTACCAGATACAGCTAAATCACCCCAACAGAGATTATTTACCACAGGGAATCTTAATACCCTCTGACAAGCCAATATGGGTTATTATATGTGATTGAACTGTACTATCAGCGTCTGAGTTAGACAGTAAGTAACTGGGGGCAGGGACTGTCATCTTAAATGTTTGTTCTGCACCAAATGCACGGTAAATAAGTTATTAATAATGATAACATAGTGGCAAATTATCCAGAACCCAGCCACTATGCTTTCCTTTTTCAGATTTCAGAACCTGGCCATTGCTTAATTTCTGGCCAACAAACTTGGGATGGATTCTTGGTAAGTCTCGCATTGAATTAGACTTGATGAGGATTTTTCTGTAAAGATGGTATAAATGGTGAAAAAATGTTATAAAACATATTTCTTTTCATTGCAGATGGCAGTGAGAACACATGAAGAGGCAGATACTTCCTGATCCCATTTCTGAGCCAATCTTCTGTCCTGAAGAAATAACACAGTCCATTGTAGAGCATGTTTAGAATGTCTGAGGTATCAAAAGTGAGATTTTTGTGTGTTTATCGGGGAAGCTGTTTAGCTCGCCCTATGTAAAATGTGTTGGGTCTTTGCAATAACATGCCTGCTATCTGATATGGCCCATGAATGGGGAACATTTCTTCTCAAAAAGCCTGCCCTTCCTGTTTTTTTTTTTTAAGTCAGCATTGAATTTTTTTAGGAATGGTGGGGAAATAATGGCAAATATACAGACCCAATCTACAGTAGTTCCCACTGAGTAAATCAAGTTACAAATGTTTCAGGGAAAGACATTGGGCCAGGGCTAAAGATACAGGGAAACCACATGCTTTGCAGGTGAAGAACTGCTCATTACTGAATGTCCCTTCTTTTTCAAGGCCATTCAGCTGTAGGAACTTTGGGATGGATCATATTTAATTTCTCAGTACAATAGCTCCCTATCAATTTTCACCATCACTAGGTCAGAAAAATCTCCAGATTTGACACAGTATAGAGCAACAGCAATACAAAGAGCATCTTTTCCATTTTCTCTGGAGTCCTGACTGGGAGCAGCTGAAAATATCCATTCAGAGCTACAGTGCTTCATGTCCTACATATGAAGTTTGTGAGTGTTCATGGTCTCTTGGCTTCCAGTCAAGGTCTCCAGGTTAAAAATACCTGCTTCTTAACTGCTGTTAGGAATGTGACTCAGAATGAAATGTCGTCCTTCAGATAAGACTGAAGGATTTGCTGTACCTTCTGAAGCAGCAACAAGCATCTGAATCAGAAATGATGGTAAGGAAGGAAAACTGTGGTAGGAGCATGAGTGGAGATGAGTCTTCAATTCCTTGGCTGATTTTTCTATGCTTTTTGTTGCCTTTTGTGGTGCACTGAGTCTCTAAGCCTGTTATGCAGTTCAGGTGTAGAGAAATTTCTAGTCTGCTTATGCAGTTGCCTTCATTTGACTTGACATTGGGCATTCTGAAGCTCAAAGGTTGCTCTGTAGCAGATAAAAGAGGAGGTCTCCATTAGAAACAGAACTGACGGATGTCAAAGAATTTAGAATAAAATAGAGTTACTGGATCTGATTCCCCATTGCCTATTGTCTTGTGTAGTCAGTTACTGCTAGGCAAAATGCAAGTAAAACTACCAAATCAGAATTCTTCTCTTACACTTGGTTAACATTTTACACCCATTTTGCAATAACTTTGCATTATGTAAGTGCTATTTTCTTGGATGTAAGATTTTTTTTTTGGTCTTGAATGTTCTTGGTAACAAAATAATACAACTCTATAAACTACCCACTGACATTTAATGCCTAGGCTACATTTGGAAAAAAACTGTAGGGATTAATAATCATTTATTCCTGATTTTGTTTTTGTAACTGAAAGCTTGTCATTCAGTAGAAGCTGTAATATAATAATCTTCCTTGGAGAATTCAGTGAAGAATTACCTTCTTTCAAAATGGTTGCCATCTCTCATTGTTCTCAGTAGGAGTGACACCACAGTGACATCATAGAGGGTTGGGGGGAATTACTTTGTCATTAACCATCTATTTAATTTAATTTGGGCTTTGGACACTAAAATGCATTAATCTTAATTGTATGGTCATCACTGTAGGACAGAGTTAAGGTTGTTTGGGTGTCCTCACTGTACATTTCTATACTTTAATATGTTTGGATTCATTTTAACTTTAATCGTAACTGAATTTCCTGGATTTGTAATTCTTTGTTTTGTTTTTATTTTATTTTGGGGGGAGATAATTACAACATCCCTGTAATCTATTTTTACAGTAAATTATTGATATGTACTCTCAACCTTGCCTCCGTCTTAACATACTGTTTTGTCAGGAATTAGATCTAAATAACTATACAGGGTACAAGGCAATGGAAAGCAAGGCCCATAAATCCTAGATATACATGGATTTAATAGCATGTGTTACAGGGAGTGGGGTGAATACAGCACATAGGCTGAAAGAAATAGAGGATTCCTGACTGTCATTTATCAATATGTTACCTAAAAGAGAATTTTCTTTCCAGTTGTGGCCTGTTTCGGCTGCTCTGGAAGTGTAATGCGGAGTAAACTGGCACCCTGGGAAATACTCCCTCTGTAAAAGGGTTTCTCCAGTGACTAGGGCTGGTCCTATGCAACCCTCACTTGCAGAACCAAGCATCTTGTGGATGAGATTGCACTGTTCTTTGGCTTATTCTAAGTGAGTGGAACAGATTGCAGGTAACTGTGTGACTTTGCTGTAACAAAGATCAGCTCATGAGGTCGCTGTGTATAACGCTAGGGGCCAAGGAGGCCCCAAACACAGCCCTGAATGCCAGCGTGTCCTTTTGGGGGTTTGCTTTTTGACATACAAATGAATGCCTTTGAAACCTTTTTCTGCCTGATATTTGTACCCTGTTTCTCAGTGCTAAATTATATTACTGTATGAAGTAAAACAAAAATTAATAAAAGGAGATGCTCTTTACTGTAGTGTTGTCTTTCTTTTCAGCATGGTTCTGCCTGTTACTTCTTTACTTATACTTTTAAAGTACATGTACATAACTGCTGTAGCTACTACGCTGTTATTACATGGCACTTTCCCTACCTTCTGTTTCCCCACCGTCATAAGTTTGCATCCTGAATCCTTTGCATCCATTATACATTTGTGTGTTGTTGAAGCTTTCAACTGTGCGGTTGCCTCTCAAATGAGATGATCTTCATGTTTCATGAACAACAGAATAAAATGGACTCTTCCATTTATTCACCACACACCACGCCTGATCCTTTGCTTTTTCAAGACGATGGATGTGTTCAAGTAGAACAGGATCTGGACCCACGTATAGCTTCTTCAGAAATTGCAGTCCCGCTTAGATATTATAATTTCTTTATTTTTAATTTATGAAATGTACTTCTCCACTAAAATTCAAACCTCTTTACAAAAATGAAAAAAACAATAAACAAATATCAGAACAAAATTTACTTCTAGCCCAAACCACTTGGAACCTGCCTCTTCAGTCACCTCTCCTATCTTTGACAAAAGCCCATGTAAACAGATGAGCTTTTGTACCTTGGACTTGCATAGACCAAAAGTGAAATACCTTTCATCAAGAGATCCTGTTTCTTGCCCCTAGACATTCTAATTTAGTGACTTAGTAAAACTGCCAAAACTGATGACAATTTTATGCAGTGTTTGTGTAGAGAGTTGCATGTGTGAGAGAGACAACATCATTTGGAATTTAGGGAAGTTAATCCAGACTTAGACTTATGTAACCAAAAGCAGAATTTGGCCCATCTAGTTCACACCAATTCTCTCAAAATAGAGCATTTTTTCTTGGGATTTATAGTCATCACTTCCTATTTTTAAAAACTTAATGAAATCATCATGTTTTTATAAGTAATCTATTCATGGTTTAAAATTCCAGACCCCCCTATCACATCTACCATTCAGCTTTCTGTGGTGGGCCTGAATTCAGTGCAGTTACTCCTGATTTTTCCTAATGTAAATGAGAACAGAATCTGGTCTAATACAACATACACGTAATTTTTTGTGTGTAATTTTTTGGACGCAACAGAAGATATGATTAAAACACTGGCCTACAGAAAAAAGTGCAGTGAAGACATTCTCCTAAAGAGCATGTGAGCCACAGCATACCAGCAGTCAGAAGTGGATAAAGTACTTGAAAAATAGCACAAATTGAAATAATCTACAGTTACACATCTTCTGGACATAACATGAAAACACTGAAAGGAGGCAGAAATTCTATGGCCCCAAGAACTTGCAGCAAGAGAGTACTGTGGCATTTTAGTCCTGTGAAAGAATGCAGGACTAAAAAAAAAAAAAATCCCTCTGGAGTGTTGTTTCTAGTTGACAAGGTCCTGCATACAAGGGAGCATATGTGACTGTGTTGTGTTGGGGCCATGTTGTGACTGCTGTCTGTAGCAGTATGTGGAGTGATCATACGCCTGGAAATGCTTATGTCATGTAATCAGTAGTCTTATGCTTTGACACATTTACCTTCGGTAGCTTGTCCACAAACTGGTGTGATGTGCCCCCATGGTGATATGCTTAGACTCAACTCAAGAGCTGGATCTTTGTACTTCTGAGGTGGGAGCACCAGGTCTGTCTGTTACGGTGTCTAGATACTACGATAGGCAAAGTAGAGATTAGATAGAACTAGATGTAAGCAACTTGCTCAGCAGTATCTATCCTCCTAATACATAGTTACCCATCTGCCATTTTCCCTCTCATTGTGAACTGCTTTTCTGTTAGTAGTTAATGATGCATTAGGCAGAATTAACTTCTGTGGAAATGTCATTTGGAAACTACAGGGAAAAGCACCTTATAAATTGCTAAGATTATGGATAGATTCAGAGGGCATGCTCCCTGAGTATAGGACTCAGCCTGCAGCCCCTCTGCATGCAGGACTACCAATAGCTTCATTTAGGAGTTCCACACAGAGTAACTTCACCATCAGGCTCTCACTGCAGATAGCTCACTCTTTATTCAACTGACATATCCACTTTTTCCATATCGAGTCCTTCCCTCCCTTCTGTCACCGCTAGATGATGGTAGCATAACACGTACATACTTGGCTACATCTGCTTGCTTGGAGACCTCTGGAACTAACTTTCTTATGCTTTGTCACTCAACAAACCATGCTTGCTGGGGTAACATCTACTTTATGTATCCTGAGATTAAATCTATACCCTTGATGGTCCAGTTAAATCTCTAATTTTATAGCTCTGTTGTGTAAGATACTGCTATAGCAGGATTTTTTTTAAAAGTTATAAGAAGTGAATTGTTACACTATTATTATTTAATTAGAATGTTATTGTTATTCTCTTCAAGGTATGGAATCACATTTCCACCCATCAAAAGTAATCACAAAGTAGTCCAATGTTCTTTTTAATCTTTGAACCATCAGGTTTCTTTTACTTTAATTTTCAGCTCTCCCCCAAAAAAGTAAAAAGTGCTAAACATAACTTTATTTGATTATTTCCTGTTTTTATTTGTGTGTTACAGGCAAATGGACACAGTTTTGTACATATGGAACATGAGAAAGCTGTATTACTACTGAAGAGTTTCCAGAATACAGTAGACCTAGTTATTCAACGTGAGCTTACTGTCTAAGTATTTTTTATAAATAGTAAACGTATGTCTAGCCAGATCTAACGTTCAAACAGAAATTTATACATAGGAAACAAATTTTGCCAATTGCTGGACCAATGGCAAACATTAGTGCCAAATGTATAATACTATATGTTAGTACTGCGCCTCTTGAAAAATGTTAACTATATAAATATGATGTTCATGTGGTTATGTATTAGTTTTAATTGTCAGCCTCTGGCTGTGCATTGGTGCAGTTTCTTTTTTAATCAAGTTACTTCTCAAAGTGGATTTCATAAACTTCAGAACACAGAAGCACACAAAAGCTCTTTATGAATTCTGCTGTCCATCAAAAATACTGCCTCAAAGTTGTATATATCTTTATAAAGAAAAACATATATTGAGTTGTAATTCCCATAAAATATTTCTATCACCAGTGCTATACTAAAAGAAAGATTATAGAGAAAAAATATTTTCATAGACACCACTAAGAAAGTAAATATTAAATTTGAACTTTAGTATGTTGATTTTTTCAATGCAAATATATATATATATGCCTTATAGAAGTAACTGTACAAGTACAGTGTTTAGTGCTGAGTCCATATTAATTAGCTGAATTATTGCAATACAGGGTGAAATACTTCATAAATTATACTTTCAAGCCTGGGACCTAAACATAATAGTCTAGGCAAAATTAATTGCTTTTGTCTGATCCTTTTAGCTGATTACATGTAAGCTTGTGAAATAGACATAATTTTAGATAGTGTTGTTCCTCAAATAAAAGCAGTGAGTGGTGGTTGACAGGAAAAACTAATGCTTTATTTTTGTGAATTTTTTAATTTATTTAAAATTATAGAGCCCTTTCAATAAACTTTGATTCCCAATTCTCCCACCAGACTATAATAACCCTGAGTAAGGAAGGCCAAATCTAGCCCTTTGTGGCAGCAGTCCCATTGAAATAAGTGGGACTATGCAGGTACAATGCATTGCTAGTAAGACTAGATAACATTTAAAATATTTTCTCTCTGAGGTGTGCTATATAAATACCAGTAGGTGAATCTCAGTGCAGTTCTAAGGGGATAGGAATAGACACAGCACAAAACTACATTACATTGGTGTTATTTCAGTAATCCAAGTTTTAGTAATTCCTACAGCTGACAGCATGGAAAATCAATTTCTGTGCCATGGATAAGTCTACAAATATTGGGTAAATCCTGTTTCCATTGAAGTCAATGGTAAAAAATTGTGACGGCTAATGAGAGTTTTTGAAGGAAATAAATTGAGTATTCCAAATTGGTTTTATTAAATTTGAACATTTTTAAAAAACACAAATCACCTAAATTGTGGCTATTGTAGATTTTAAAGGTTACTATCAAGAACTTTTTAGTTAATGTGAGGTGTTTCTCTATTGCATATGTAATGCTGACATACCCTGGTTGTCAACAGGCAGGATTGAACTGGGGACCTCTGGAGCTTAGTGCATAGCTAATGCTGTAGAGCAGACTCAATCTCTCTCTCTAAGTGGTCTTGATGCCACTAGATGGGACAGAACATCACCCCCCAAGTGGTCTGTGGGTTAGACTCACACTAACTACAGTTTTCCCTCTCTCCTCTGATTAATTTACATATTAATTAGTTTAATTAAAATATATAATTAAACAGTTGTTTTTTTTAAAGTCAGTTTATGTAATGTTCTGTCTATTATATGGTCTTCTGTTGCTCATTAGATATCTGAGGTGGGGCTTGTTCCCTGATGAATGTTTTGAATTGTCTTATTTGGATTTCATTTATTTTCAGCTGGCATCTGGCAGCTGTTGCAATGTGACAATATGGCTGGAGATTTGGTCAGTCAGCTTCATCACAATGACAAATTGTGGTTCTGAAGCAACTGGGGACTTTGGGTGCATAGGAATGCAGGGTTAGGGCTTTTGTTTGTATTTACACGTTTCCTGGTTTTAAAATGGTGACTGTTCACATCCCCTTTATTATTTGCTTTCCACAAACATGAATGATTACACGTCTTACTGCAAAACTGGAAAGTTTATTCCAAATCTGCATGTGTAAGTTCTCACAGAAAACAAATGTTCATTTTGTACAAGTCCTCATACTGGAAGTGCTGCTGCACTCATCCATTCAGGAGGCAGAAATACCACCATGTAACTTATCTGACTACAACTGATCCATACCAGCTCTAATTTTAAATATTTACACCCAAATAGTTTGAATTTAGTTATTCTTTCACCTAAGAGGAGATTTCAAATTCCTCTATTCGAAGATATTCAGCAAATAAATTCAAATGAGTTATTCAGTTATTTGTGTCAGCCTGGGGTGCAGGAATGCAGCATCTTTAACGATGTACAGACGCTCCCCGGGTTACGCAAACCTGCATTTACGGAAAAAGTTCCTTAAGTGGTTTTTTGGTTTGGTTTTTTGTGTAATTGTCAGGTATATGTCCTCGACTTACGCAAAATTCGACTTACACAAGCAGAGCCATAACTAGGGATTTTTGCGCCCGAGGCAAGGGACGGGGCGGCACGTCCAGCTCTTTGGCAGCGGGTCCCTCTCGGAGGGAAAGACTTGCCACCGAAGGAGAGACTTTCTGCGCCCCTCACCTTCCGCCTCACTCGCCTCGCCCTCATTATGGCACTGTATGCAAGGTGTTCCAGAACAGAATGCTTGTGTAAGTCGGAGAGCGTCTGTAACAGCTGCAGAATTGCAAAGTCCATTATTCAAATTGTCAGCATCATCAGCTGTCCCTTTCATAATAAAACAGTCAAGAGATGCTCACATCCATTCTTTACATGCAGAAATTCACTCAATGTAAACACACTAAATGTAATACATTCTGTGGGAATTTCATTGTAATTTATTTGCATAGCTCAAATATTTCCCTTGACTTCCCTTGGCAAGAAAACTGAGTAAATAAAAAGTTAGTTTTGAGTCATGTTGTAACATTGCCTACTACATCCCTCCCCTAAGCAAAACTAGAAGACAGAATCCTGAAGCATGTTACAAAATTAAATATTTTATTTATATAGCACCAAGATGTGGTAGGCATTTTTACAGAGACAAGTGGGATGACGAGGGTTCTGCCCTAGGGAGCCTACAAACTACATAGACAACATATTGAAGAAAGATGTAATATAACAAAAGCCAAGTGATCTTTTGTGTCACATTTTGTTCTGATGGATTTTTGATTACATAAACTGATTATGCCAATGTGGTTTGTAAGCCTGAGTGTTATAAGACACAGGTAGTTTTTTTATTCTCCCTACCTCTCCTCCAGCTCTTTCTTGTCCATTATATAGTCAGCTATGTCTAGATCTGCATTTGGAGACTTTAAACTTCCCCCTTAATTAATGAAGTCTTTGTTGGGAATAAAACCAGACATTCCAGTGGAACCTCTGTCACATTTAAGGTCTGATGCTGCAGATTTTGGAGTCAATGGAAGCTTAGTAAAAGAGCTTTTCCTGGTAAGTGAGCAGGAGTTCAGGCTTTTCATTCAGACAGTAGTTGAGCTTCAAGATGCGTCTTCCCCACCCCAATCCCCCAAAAAGCAAGCATGATTCTCGGTGTATTTATATACAAATTGGCAGAGGGGCTGCTCATATTTTGAGCGATGAAGGAAGTCTTCATTGTGGCTAATTAGTATGTTGTCTTGTTTTGATGCAACACACTTTTGTCTTTTCTAGAGCGATTCAAAAGATGCAGTTAGTAAGTCACAGCTGAACCAAGGTATCCATGCACATATATCTTGTTAAACTTGAGATTCTAGGACAGATACTGGCAGCAGATGAACAGCATATATATGATGTGGCACCCTGGAGTATATTCCATAGATGTGGTTATTTTCATGTTTCATCAATGAGTTCTGAGGCAGGCAGCTGTGATCTCAAAATTGCATATAGGTTCCTGGGTCCAGGCTATTAGCTAGTACACACTACACCATGTGCTTTCAGATCAAGTACACAATACCTAAAGCTCAGGATTTTTTTTTTGTAGCTACTAAAGAGAATTTTTGACAATGACTTAAACATGGTGTTTTAGAAATAAAACCAGAAACTCCAAATTGCCTTTGGAACTTCTACCCTTTTCAATTTCTAGCTGCCTGTCGGCTTTCAGCTGTGCTAAATTTGTTCCCATGGTAACACTTCTGCTAGCAGTAAAACTGTGACACTGCTTTTTAGGTTTCTGCACAACAAAGCTCATCTAGTGCTCCTCAAGTAAAGGTTAGATTAAAAGTGCAGGGCATTGCTACAGTTCCCTTGTTCTTGTTTTACAGCAGCTGTTAAGGAACACAGAATGGTTACTATCACAGCTCACGTGGCAAGTCACTGTACAGAAACTAGAACTTATCAGGGTTTCAACTCCCAAGCACCACTATGAAAATGTGTAACAAAAGTATCAACTGTATCTTAGCCAAACGTGTATTAGGCTAGGTCTACACTACCCGCCTGAATTGGCGGGTAGAAATCGATCTCTCGGGGATCGAATTATCGCGTCGGGACGCGACAATCGATCCCCGAATCGACACTCTTACTCCACCAGCAGAGGTGGGAGTAAGCGCCGTCGAAAGGGAGCCACGGAGGTCGATTTTGCCGCCGTCCTCACAGCGGGGTAAGTCGGCTCCGATAGCTATTCGCGTAGCTGAATTTGCATATATTAAATCGACCCCCCCTGTAGTGAGGACCTGCCCTTAGCCAATGCAACAGTAACTCCCCAATCGACCATATTTCCAGATAGTCATATAAAATAGGGCACAACCCACTTTTGTGTTTCCAGTTTTATACGGAACCCCCTATCCAGATTTTTGGGGTGTGGGTTAGTTTCTCTAAGCTTGTTCTGAGCCTAAAGCTCTTCTTTCCCCAGTTGCATCCCACTGGTTGATGCCACAGCTGGAATTGAGTACTAGCCAACAACCTCTGGCCACAGGTCATTCTCAGAATGGGAGAAATATCTAAAGAGACAAGACCACAGGAGACTCAATTCCTAAAGAAGTCTCCAGTCTCAATAACAATTCTTCACCCATTCTGTTTTTTATTGTAATTAAAAAATTTAAAATTTCAAGTATATTTTCATTCACTGAAATGTATTTTCTAACAAGCCAGATTTGTAAAAATATATCTGTCCCTTTATTCATCACGATCCTGCTCCTTTGTGCAATTATATTACAGCCTGAGCTACTGCGAGACTACTCAAACTATAACTAAGGCGGCTTCTTGACAGTGTCTCTACTCTATTTATACATGGGGACAATTTTAAGGAAGTTCACCAAATGCCATGTAAATGGTAAAATAGAAAACTGCCAGCTGTCTGTTGAATTTCCCAGGCTGAAAGAGCATAGGCAGATGTTACGAGGTTTTCTGAAAATGAAGAAACTTGTCCAAAGTTGCTTTAGCTCATTTGGTTATTTTTACAACTGCAAACTCATACCACGAGCACTTCCCTGAGTACGAGTAATTCTTAACAGTTCTAAAACCATCTGACCACAATAAACTGTTAAAAGAATCGAATGTAATATGTTTAGGAAATCTGCTTGCCACTGCTATTACTATGTACTGCTCACATTACATCTTGCTCCTGCTTGTAACTCTAACCAATCCCTGTTATTATTGTGTATTAGTAAAGAAAAAGTAATGATTGAGTTCATTTTCACAAACCATAGTTTCTCTTCCTATCCTGTGCAAGTGACCATTCAAAAGACGCATAGGACCTGATTCTGCCACAGGATACATGTCCCAACTCCCAGGGAAGTCAATGGGAATTTAAGGTCATATCCATTAGCTCAACTAGCTTTGCAATCTGTGCCCCCCATCTTCCTAACTAGAAAAGGGTATTGTCAACTTTCTGTACAGTTAGCTTGTGAATGTACTGGGTTCAGCCGCCACTCACCTCGTGCTCAGAAATTACCATGCAAGCCCAATTGGGACTAAAGTAAACATTAATATAACCACCCGTTTGCTAATCTTCATAAAAGGACACGAAATTGCAACCGCCAACCGTGGGCTTTGAATTGGCCATCCAAGAGTAAGATATACTTACTAGCTTTTCATTTTCTGTGTCTGGGTTTTTTATATTTTAAACTTCCAAATGTAAGTATTAAAATAAAATAGTCATCCAGTCAATTTTAGATTTCAAATAAGTGGAATAAAATTATAAATTTTGCTTTTTTATTAACCAGATTTGTTTATTTCACTGTACTGTAAATATGAGCTAAACATAAAAGCAATGATGCAACTTTCAGGCCAGTAGTTTGGATTGGATATTAATTGAGTTGGTCTTTTTATGACTCCAGTTTTGCTATGCTAAATAAATGGCCTTACAGCCATGTGTGTGCAGCACAACAGTGACACCCAGAGGCCAGGCAATGTAACCAGAGCTCCTTTTCCTCAGAGTGGCAGTTTGAATTTTGATCAGACCTCAATGAAATTTCACCTTTGCAAAAGTAAATTCTCAGAAGGTATTATTTGATACTTATAGCATTTTAAATAGTTCCTTGTTTCTTTAGAAATTCTTATGAGCATTAATAGCCTCAGACAATTCAAGCAGATATTCTGTATATGAATGCACTCCATTTCATTGCATATAGTATTTACTTGCCCCCTTGTAAAGCATTTAATGAAGAACCACCAACAAGCCACAACAGTGCAGCACAAGAGGCTTGATCTTTATCAATTGGGGCCTTTTAGGCCTCTTTGCTAGCCTAAGTGGGTTTACTCTGAAATCATGGTCAAAACAAAGACTTATGTTAAGTTTTCTACTTGTGAGTACTGTATCCAGTTCAAACCCAACAGCTTACTTTATTAAAAATTTTACCATTTTATAAAAGACATGTTTAATTATGATGGAGATGGCTGTATTGTAATTAATATTTTGAGATAATTGTGATATTGAGCTTAAATTATATACAAAAAAGTCATTTTTGTATGTGTTAAAAAGATTGCTATATTACAGATGACTAACTGTACTTTTCAGTTTAATTACAGTATTGATGTAAATAAAGCTGAATGAAGAAATATTTACTACTTTATTAACATAGATTGTGAATGTATTTAATGGTTTTGCAGTATAAGGACTTACTGAACTTGAAAGCTGCTTCATTTTATGTGCAAAAAGGTACTTTAAAACTATATTTTAAATCTATTGATTCAGTGAAATCAATTATCTTGTTAGTTAATTTGCACATGCAAGTTGTATCCTTCCAGTTTTATTTTATGTATTGACACTAATTGGTAAGGTGCATATTGTGTTTAGAATGCATTTTGCAGATGCTTTCTGTACATAAAAAAATACAGGGACTAAAACAATGCTGTGCAGTGTATAGCAGAGCCATTTTTCGGCTTTGGTGTACCAACTTTTTCAGTATTTAAAAAGTGTTTTGAATAACATTAAAAAAAGTCTCTTTATTGTACAAATAATAAAAATGTCACATTATTGTAACAAACTTTTGTCATCTTTTAATATAAGAAGGGATATCAGTTATCCAAAGGTAATTAATTGTACTGCTGAGTTGTCTGGCTTATGGAAAGAGTTGTTGGTCTCTAGCTAGTTCCTTTTAAACTGCTTGTTAATATGTTGTTTGATTTAATGAGGAAAAAAGTAGTGAAGATAAAGATGCAGTTTTCAAATCTTCACTAAATATTTAACCTGAGGGGATAATGCTTGAGACTCTGCCATTAGTTTTAATTGATACAGTTAGTTTAAAAAGTTCAGATTAAAAAAACCAAACCCATACCAAAACTTGCCTGTATTCTCCTCTCATTAAACAAGTGTTTGAGTATTCTTCTGGTGAGGCATCATACTGTAGAACCTCAGAGTTATGAGCTGCCCAGTCAACCACACACCTCATTTGGAATTGGAAGTATGCAATCAGGCAGCAGTAGAGACAAAAAAAAAAAAGCAAATACAGCACACTAGTGTGTTAAATGTAAACTATTAAAATAATTAAGGGAAAGTTTAAAAAAAAAGAGTTGAAACTGGTTTTGTGCTTGTTTCATTTAAATGAAGATGGTTAAAAGCAGCATTTTATTTTTCTTCTGTATAGTAAAATTTCAAACTGTATTAACTCAATGGTTAGTGGTAAACTTTTGAAAGAACAACCATAATGTTTGTTCAGAGTTACGCACAACCTCCATTTCCAAAGTGTTCGAAAGTCTGAGGTTCTACTGTAAAATTATCGCAACTGTATGAAGAAAAGCTACAGCACCTGAAAGTCTAAAATTCAGGGTCTGTATAGAACGTGCTTTGTATAGAAGCTGGAAGAGTGCCTCAGTAATCTAAATGTTAGACTTGATATAGCTATAAAATGCTGGGTACCATTCATTCAAATAGGGGCAACTTTGGCCTTCAACCATTAGCCTTCCCACATAAATACATTGCCATTTGTTTTGGGGGTTGGGTTGTTGTTTTTTTATTTGGATTGGGCGATGTCTTAAAACAGTAACACATCTACTCAAACGCCCAATCTCCTTGTCCTTTCCTATTGCTATGTAGTGTTATGTGCCAGCTGTTTGCTGTCCTCCCTCTCCAGAGGGGTTACATTTCAGTGCTGTTGCATGTATTGTGATCATTTATGATGAAAGGTGCTCATTAAATGTAAGACATTAGGGATGGGTGGATTTATTTTGTCTTAATTTTGGACCCACTCAACCATCATTGGGTTGAAAGTTTAATTGGAATTGTTTTTTAATTTTGCTGTTGGATAGGAGATGGGGAAGGGAGAAAGAGAAAAGTGTTGAATGAAAGCATAGTTTATACACACCATACATAATATACAGGATATCCACTTCAGCTGTCTTCTAATGGCATGAGGCATGAGCAGGGTGAATGTAGCAAAAGGTGGCTTTTCTATTCCTAATAATTAGCACAGGATTCT